ATAAAGCCACCCAAAGAAGAATATGCTTAAACTTATCAGTGGACACTATGAAGAGGACAGAGTGGAGTAACATATTCCAAAATTTGAAAGAAAATAACACAAACCCAAGAATACTCTATGAATCAAAATATCTATCAAGATAGTTGGAAAAGCAAGAGTCTTCCTGGACAAGGAAAAAAACTCAAAGAATATGTTACAAGAAACCCAGCCCTACAAAAAAATCCCTTGCTGACCCAGTATAGGCAGAAGAACAATACTCAACATGCACAAATAAGAGGCTACCACATAGAACTCCACCTAAAGTTCAACAAAGCAAAAACAGGCCCTAAGATAGCATTGGCTCAACAGTGGAAAGAAGGCAAGAAGGAAACACACACACATGCACAACACACTGATAAGAAAGGGAGGTAGGAAAACACCAAATACAAAAGGTACAATATGACATCACAGTTGACAGATGGATTAACAACCCTGAATATTAATGGACTGAACTCAGGCATTAAAAGACAGAGACTAGCAGACTTACTTAGAAAACACAACCTGTCAAACTGCTGCCTACAGGAAACACATCTCAAGATTACAGACAAAAATGGGCTGGGAATCAAATGCTGTAGAAAAATGTACCAAGCAAATGGCAATTGAAAAAAAGCAGAGGTTGTAATCCTAATGTCACAAAAAAATTATCTCAAGGTGCAAGCTATAGTAAGAGATAGGGAGGGCCACTATATAATGCTCAAGGGAACAGTAGACGAAGAATCAGTGAGCATAGTAAATGTATACATGCCCAGTGAGAGATCCATGAAATCTGTCCGTCAAAAACTCCAAAAGATGAAGAAACAAATTATAGTCTCAACAGTTATAGTAGGTGACTTTAATACTCCAATCTCTGAGAAAGACAGGTCGCAGAGAAAGAACTTAACAGAGAGACTACAGATCTAAACTTCACAATTAAACAACTTGCCCTAATAAATATTTTCAGAACTCTCCACCCAAATGCAAAAAGAAAAATTACATTCTTCTCAAGCCCACAGGGCACATACTCAAAGATAGAACACATGCTGGGACACAAGTTGAGTCTGTGTAAATTCAAGCACATATTGATAATACAGACTTCTCTCTCAGACCACTACACCATGAGGCTGGAATTCAACAAAAGAAATCAAAGGTAAACAATTTGAGGATGAATAACTTTTCTGTTGCAAAAGGTGTGGGTACTAGCCCAGATCAGACATGAAATCAGGAAGTTTCTAGAAACCAACAAGAATGTGAATACGACATACCAAAACCAATGGGATACAGAAGAGGCAATTATCAGAGGAAATGTGATAGCAATACATGCACACATAAAAAGGGAATAGACACTTATGACTGATATTCTGGCACAAAACGTACAGCGATTAGAGCAGAGTCAACAGAACAGTTCTACTAATAGCAAAAGAAAGGAAATAATAAAAATCAGGGCTAAGATATATGAGAGGGAAAACAAGAAACTATGGAAAAAATAAATGCAACTAAAAGTTGATTATTTGAAAAGATTAACAGAATCAACAGACCACTGGCAAACCTAACCCAAAAAAGGGAAAAACAAATTTCAATAGCAAGGATGAGAAATGAAACAGGGGCATGACATCCCTAATGAAACCAAAAGGATAATTACACAGTACTATGAAGGCCTGTACTCCAGTGAATTAAAGAACTTGGACATGGACAAATACTTAGAAAAACAATCGATCCTTAGACTATCCCAGATGAACATTAATATCAACAGACTCATTGCAATAGAAGAAATAGACAAGGCTATACAGGGATTACCAACAAAAAAATCCCCTGGACCAGATGGCTTCACAGCAAGCATTAAGGGAAGAACTGACACAGATCCTACAAAAACTCTTCCAGAACATAGAAAAACATTGAAAACCCCCAAACCCTTTCTATGAAGTTAGTATAACTTTGATACCTAAACGGGGAAATGATCCCACAAGAACAGAGAACTACAGATTAATATCTCTAATGAACATTGATGCAAAAATCCTTAACAAAATACTGGTGACTAGAATACAAAAGTATATAAAATAAATAATTCACCATGACCAAGTGGGATTCATACCAGGGACGCAGGGACGGTTCAACATATGAAAGGCATTAGTATTATTTGCCACATAGACATGAAAAATTATAAGAATCACATAATATTGATAGATGTCCCAAAAGCATTCAACTACATCCAACACCCATTCCAGTGTGACACTCAAGAAGATAAGAATGGAAAGAAATTTCCTCAATATAATACAAGCTATATATGAAAAACCAACAGCCAGTGTGGAAGTCAATAGAGAAAAGACAAAAACAATCCCACTGAAAAAGAGGACCAGACAAGGATGCCCCTTGTCCCCACTCTTATTTAACATCCATCTGGAGGTCCTAGCTTACAGCATAAGGCAAAGGAAAGACAAGAAAGGTATTCATCTGGGGAAGGAAGAGTTGAAAATATTCTTATTTGCAGATGATAAGATTTTGTGTATGGAAAATCCCAAACGCTCCACAAGGGAGTGCTGGAAGCCATAGAGAAATGTGGCAGAGTGGCAGGATACAAGATCAACAAACACAAGTGCATCAGACTGCTATACATATTGGACCAGACCATGAAAGAGGGAATCAAAGAGTCAGTATCATTCACAATTGCCAAGCACAAATTGAAATATCTAAGGATATACCTGACCACACACACAAAAAATGATTTGTATGAAGAAAACTACAGAACACTATTATAAGAAACCCATAGTGACCTCCACAAATGGAAGAATATACCATGCTCATGGATAAGAAGAGTCAATATGGTAAAGAATGTCAGTTCTGCCCAAGGCACTATGTAAGTTTAATGCTATCCCAATACAAATACAATCATCTTTCCAAAGAATTGGAAAAACTAATTATCAACTTCATATGGAGAGGGAAGAAGCCAAGAACTATCAGATAACTCTTCAAGAAGAGCTAATTTGGAGGGCTTGCTTTACCTGACTTTAGCACCTATTATACAGCCACAGTGATCAAAACAGTGTGGTACTGATATAAAGAAAGATACTCAGATCAATGGAAAAGAACTAAAATCCTGTAAATAAAATCATCAACATACAGACAACTGATCTTTGATAAGGACCAAAAAAATATCAAGTAGGAAACACATGTCCTCTTCAATAAGTGGTGCTGGGGGCGGGGGGCAGGAAACGGATATCTAGCTTCAAAAAAATGAAGCAAGACCCTTCCCTCACTTCATGCACAAGAAAAAAACTCAATGTGGATCACAGACCTTGAGGCAAAACCCCAAAGTATTAGAGCCATCAATGAGAGAATTGGGACAAACCTGAGAACATTGGCATAGGGAATACAAAGGTTTTGTTAAATAGGGAAGGACACAAACAGACGTAGCACAAATTGACAAGTGGGAGATACTGAAGATAAAACATATGTGTACATCTAAATAATTCTGTAATAAGAGAGTCCACAGACTAGAAAAACATCTTTAGCAATGACACATCAGACAAAGGCCTTATTACTGAAATCTACAATACTCTGCTAGCTTACAAGAAAAAAACTAATAGCCCATTGATAAGGTGGGCAAAAGACCTCAACAGAAATTTCACAAGGGCAGAAATCCAAATGGCCAATAAACATATAAAAAATGTTCCCAATCACTAGCTATGAGAGAAATGCAAATTAAACAACTATGAGATACCAACTACACCCTCAAAGATAGCCAAATACAAAAAAATCATAAAGTAACAGTGTTAGAGGGGCCATGGTGACATAGGAACTCTCATCTCCGGCGGTAGACCTGTAGATATGAACAGCCATTATAGAAATCGATTTGGCAATATCTAAAACAGATGGAAATTGAACTACCATACAGCCCAGCAATTACCCAGAAGAGGTAAGAAACAAATCACGGCCAGACATCTGTGCTCCAATGTTCATCGCAGCACAGTTCACAATCACAAGGAGTTTGAAACAACCTAAATTTCCATCAACAGATAAATGGATTAAAAAACTGTGGTACATACATTATGCTAAGCAAAGTAAGGGTTGAGGTCAGGTCCGTTGTGAGGGAGGGAGTATGGGGTAAGGAAGAGCTGATACCAAGGGCTCAAGTAGAAAGAAAATGTTTTGAAAATGATGATGGGAATATATGTACAAATGTGCTTGACACAATGGATGGATGGATGAATTGTGATAAGAGCTGTACAAGCTCCCAATAAAATGATTTTTTTTAAAAGCTATATCCCAATTAAGTGAGGTATATCCCTGGAATAAGAAGATAATTAGACATTAGAAATTCAGTATAATTCACCACCACATTAGTAGATCCAATGAAGGGAGAAAGAAAAATAAAACATTTCATCAAAATCATTTTATTAGAGCAGAGAAATACAATATCTGAACAAATTATAAAGGAGGATTTTCTTAACCTGAGAAATGGAATAAAGTGCACACCAAAAAAAAGTTTAGAATGTATTGAGTATTCCAATTAGATATATTAAAATAAAAGCCCATTGTTAGGAGTAAAACATTAGAAGCATGTCAATTCACATTCTATACAATGATGCTAGTATGACCACTCTTTATTTTCACTAGAGTTTCCAGCCAACTATATGTTTGTTTGTTTCTTTTTTTGTTTGTTTTTAAGAAACCACTAAAATACAGTTTTATGACATGACTTGGGATAGAAACACTTTAATCAACAGATCCTCCAAGGTCTAGCTTTTACCGATCTTCCTAGTCCTGTAGCCTCTATTCCTTAACATTGTTTTTCAAGCTACTATGTTGCAATCACACACACACACACACACACCAAACAATGTCTGACCTCTCTCTCTTGTTCCAGGTATCCTCTCTGACAAGGTGCCCTTCTTCCAACTCCACCCCACCACCCTGTTACTGCTGAGATATATCTAAAATCAGTACTAACCGTCGTAGCCCTTTTCCTTGGGGGGGAAATTACTTACATTCTTCTTTTTCTGTGGATGTTTTTCAATTTCGGCGTACTTTCTGAAAGACAAAAGAAAGTCTTCTTGAAATTTTAAAAACTCAGCCCAAACACATCTTTATAGAAATTTAATCTGAATTCTTTACTTTTCAGAGAGGGCATTGACCAAGAGGAAGTAGGTTTACTGTCTACACAGTGCTCAGACTCATGTTAATAAAGTGTTTGTTACAGGCTCAGTACTAGGCAGGAACCCAAGGAAGTGTGCTAAAGTATTTTAAAGATGGTTGAATATCAAACATTCTAATTTATTAGGATTGTTGCCTTAGTCAAGGGTGCCATATCCCAGGTGTATGTATGCGTGTATTCACTGCCATTCAATGCTGACTCACAGCAACCCTATAGGGCAGGCTAGAACTGCCCCTGTGAGTTTCTGAGGCTGTAACTTTTTAGGGGTGTAGAATGCCCCATCTTTATCCCAAAGAGCAGCTGGTGGTTTCAAACTGCGAACTTTGCAGTTAGAAAGTTAATATGTAACCACTAAGCAACAAGGGATTCTTTTTGTATAAACACCAAAACCAAATTCACTGCCCTCAAATCAATACTGACTCATAGTGACCCTGTAGGACAAGGTAGAGCTGTCCCTGAGGATTTTTTTTATTGTAATTGTTCATGGGAGTAGAAAGCAGAGTCTTTCTCCGAAGGAGAAGCTAGTGGTTTTGAACTGCAGACTTTGCAGATTGTAGTTCAATTTGTAATCACTATGCCACCGTGGCTCCTTTTTATCTAATAAGGAAGAATTTTTTTTAAATTCTGAAACATTTTGATAGTTACAAATTGTTTTTACCAACATAGTTCTTTCACATAACACTCACAATAACCAGGAGGTAAGTAGGATTGTTGTCAGTATACTAACAAAGAGAATAAGGCTCTGGAGATGTTTTTACACAATGTCCCACAGTTAATTGATGGAAGAACTGAGTTCTAAATCCAATTCAAAAACAAGTGCATTCTCTTTAAACCGTATCACAGAGCTCTTGTCTGCCACCTAAACTTTCTAGGCTTAGCAACAGTGCAAACACAGGCACCTCATTTCTGTTGCTTCTTTCGCAAGACTTTCTCCAATAAATGCTATGCAAATTTGGATGGTCTACTACATGAGTCTCCAACAAAAAAGTACCTCATTGTTAGTATACATTAGTGCTAAAGAGGTTCTGGTCACTTAGTGACTATGAGAAACCTCATGCTCATCCTAAGCCTTCACTTCTTTGGCAGAGGAAGATCTTTAATCAACTGATGGATTCTGCTTAGTGGCCAAAGATTAATGGATAATAGGGAAATATATAGCTTATTGAAAGGAGGGGAAACATATTGTAGGAAAGTAGGGAACTAAAGTAGAGGGTACTATTCCAGTCAACTCAGCTGTTCCACATTGAATATATATCCCACAATATCATCAGGACTATTTTCAATTATTAAGAATTATTAGTCATTATTAAAAATAATTGTTAAGAGTAATTGTTACCATTATCAGTTATCAAGAAGTTGATAAAATCAAGAAATGTTCATACTTTCCTGACAAGCAAGCAGGCATAATTCTAACTATATGTTTGGATATCAAACTGCTCTAGGGCTATACATCCACAGAGAAATCAAAGGAACCCTTCTAGTGCTTTAGAAAAGAAAACTTAAAAGCATATAAACCAGAATAGAAATTAGGTCAGCCATGAAGACTGTGCTCAACAGAGACATTTCAAGTTTTATGACTACAGAGATGCTCCATCTGTGCAATAAAATTCAGGGGGAAGGGAAGGCAGACCATGCTCCCCAGTGTTTTCTGTAAATAAGTTACACGACTTAAAACTAGAGGACCTACTCAACATTAGATGAAAAATGGCATTTCTATTTCTTTCCTCAAGATAATGGCCATTACAAGATATGACAAAATACCCATTTGTAAACTATCAAGGGCTCATGCGGGAGGGGGGAGCGGGGAGGGAGGGGAAAAATGAGGACCTAATGTCGGGGGTTTAAATGGAGAGAAAATGTTTTGAGAAACGATGTACAAATGCGCTTTACACAATTGATGTGTGTATGGATTGGGATAACAGTTGTATGAGCCCCTAATAAAATGTTAAAAAAAAACAAACAAACAAAAAAAAATTAAACTGGTACTTATGCCTGAAAAAAAAAAAAAAAAGATAATGGCCATTAAAAACCTTGACAGAGAAATAACTCCAGGGAAGTTTTGTAGTGAACCCTCAAATACTTTTTCCTACACTGGATATATTTCAAACACACCAATCAGGACTAAGGAGTCAAGGGCGTACCATCCCCAAGATTAGCTGTAGACAATGCTCGTTTCAACAAGGCCTTGAAGATGAGAAATCCCATCAGTGGATGAGCTGATGGCCAATGTCTTTTTAAAATTGTAGCTGACAGGGACTAATTAAAGGAACATTTCAGCTATATTTATCGACCTGAAGGGAGGCAATTCCAGCTAGTTACTCATCCCTACTATGAGCAAACTGTAGCCTGGTTTTCTTGTCAAGAAGAAAAACCCTGCCTTTCAAAGTAAGTGAAAAGTGAAATGACTTAAAGAACATGTCAAGGTCTCACCAATGTGGCCACAGGGCACCATGTAGGGCAAGTCCTGCATTGAAGTCTACCTACGACCTGAAACTCTGGCTCACAGCACCCCGAAACTCTATCTCACAGTCACAAAGGCAAACTAGCTCATCCTTGACCCTAATGCTGACACTCTCAATTAAAACAGAAAAAATATATATATAGGATTTGCATAAATGTATACCTCTGAATTTCAATCTTGAACTTATATCAAGGAATGGCATCACAATAACATATTTCAGACACGTTTTACAATATGTAAATTGTCTTCTCATATATGGTCTCATTTTCCTCAGGACAACCTAAATGTGTACAAAAGGAGAAATAAAGGGTTCTAAGGATATAGGCAATAGATATAGGAGCAGAAATTAAATCAAACTTTTGAAATCCAAATTCCAATGATCTGCCCTCTTTTGTCTACCACTGAGACTGGCCCTGCAGTCATTCATAACATCAAATCCCACATGGGCACAAATAGTAGTGACTGCTAAGGGTCTCAGACTAACAGTTTTCTATAGGTATACAATGCAATATAAGAAAAGTTATTAGTGCTGAATGATTTACTATCCCATTGATATGTGAAGAAGGAAATACTAAGAAAGAAGGGGGGGGGAAATCTGTGAAATTTATTAAGACAACATCAAATGAAATTCCATCCTTCAAACAATAAATCAGACCAACTCCATACCCACACAGACACACACTTTTCCTTCAAATTGAGGAAAGACTATTAAAAATTTACTTAAGCAAAATGATTCCCTCCCTAAACTATCCCTTTTTGTTAAAGGGGCTTTTATATCTTTATCCCAAAGAAAACAAATTATACAAATGAGAGCCTTAAATAAACACACAGAAAGATCCAATAACAATAAAATCAAGAAATAAATTAGCCTGTGACCCTCCATCCTCGCAAGAAAAGCACAAACAGAAATCTCAGAGAGGCATTGTTTATCAAAATACAAGAGACATGACCAGAAGTCATTTCTGGAGGGTTAGTTTTGTCCCAACAATACAAATTGCTACAGTGAATAGAGAGTGGGCATCACGGCAGAGAAAGGAAGAAGGGATAAGACTTATTCAACATAATTTTTTAATCAGTCTCATTCTTCTCTCCTTCTATGTCATTAGTCAAGAAATATAAAGGATGAACCCTGATTATCCCAAAGATGGATTCGTTTTTGATCAATGACTTGGAAGAAAACCTCTTCAAAACAATCACCCAGACCTCACCTCTCAATGACTTTTCAGTACATTCCCTTTACATGGGTCAGAGTCCCCAGAGCTGATCAGAGTGGCCTACCAGTAGATCATGTTAACTCAATTTTGGCATTCACCATTTGCACTGTGTCAACCTCATGTGAATATTATTCAAAAAAGTTTATTGTATAATGTATATGAAGGTAATAAGGGAAGTTTGAATACAGCCTATGTGTTAGATAATATTATATAGTTACCTTAATACTAAACCTATAAATATATGCACATAGATAGTATTAAGGTAGAAGAAGGACGTTGGGCCTCCACTCAAGTACTCCCTCAATGCAAGAATACTTTCTTCTATTAAACTGGCATTCTATGATGCTCACCTTCCTGACACAACCGCTGAAGACAAAGAAGGTGAATAAGCAAATGTGGTGAAGAAAGCTGATAGTGCCCGGCTATCAAAAGATATAGTGTCTGGGGTCTTAAAGGCTTGAAGGTAAACAAGCGGCCATCTAGCTCAGAAGCAACAAAACCCACATGGAAGAAGCACTCCAGCCTGTGTAATTACGAGGTGCCAAAGGGATCATTTATCAGGCATCATAGAACAAAAAAATCATATCATTGTGTGCTCACCTCCATGATACGATCGCTGAAGAAAAATGGGTGCATAAGCAAATGTGGTGAAGAAAGTTGATGGTGCCTGGCTATCAAAAGATATAGCGTCTGCAGTCTTAAAGATTTGAAGTTAAACAAGCAGCCATTTAGCTCAGAAGCAACAAAGCCCACCAGTGTGATCACAAGGTGTAGAAGGGATCAGGTATCAGGAATCATCAGAACAAAAAATCTTACCATAGTGAATGAGGGGGGGAGTGCAGAGTGGAGACCCAAAGCCCATTTGTAGGCCACTGAACATCCCCTTACAGAAGGGTCTCGGGGAGGAGACAAGGTTGTCAGGGTGCGATGTAGCAACTTTCCTCTAGTTCCTAAATGCTTTCTCCCCACCCACCCCCTACTATCATGATCCCAATTCTACCTTGCAAGTCTGGCTAGACCAAAGCATGTACACTGGTACAGATAGGAACTGGAAACAGGGAATCCAGGCCAGATGATCCCTTCAGGACCAGTGGTGTGAGTGGAGATACTAGGAGGGTGGAGGGAGGGTGGGTTGGGAAGGGGAAACCGATTGCAATGATCTACATGTGACCTCCTCCCTGGGATATGGACAACAGAAAAGTGGGTGAAGGGACACGTTGGACAGGGCAAGATGTGACAAAATAATAATTTATAAATTATCAAGGGTTCATGAGGGAGGGGGTAGCGGGGAGGGAGGGGGGAAATGAGGACTTGATGCCAGGGGCTTAAGGGGAGAGCAAATGTTTTGAGAATGATGACGGCAATGAATGCACAAATGTGCTTTACACAATTGATGTATGTATGAATTGGGATAATAGCTGTATGAGTCCCTAATAAAATGATTAAAATATATATATTATATAATTAATACTTTTGTTAAATATGATCATGACATATTCAAAACAAGTAATCCTTAACTTGTATAGATACATATTGACGTACTTATTGCTAAAATATGTGTTATGATTAAATATGTTTAAAAATTAGTAAGGAGACAAATGGAGGCTTCAAAAAGTGTGTGGAGAAATTCCATTATCTTTCAATTCCATTTTTCTGAAAACTTTTTGAGGCTTCCTCATATATTATGCACAATTAGTAAACTGGAATAATTTGGAAGTTAATTCATGAATAATTAATTTCCTCTATTTATGTACATATCTGAATATTTACATAGTTAAAAAAATTGAAGAATAGCATGGCTTGAAACTCCAGAACCTTTCAGAAGCTCCAGAGTCTCCTTTCCACTGTCATTGTCTAAATTTAAGGAATGTTCAAAAAAGAATAACATATATTGCATCAGTAAGAGCGTGCATCCTATCTTAAGAGGAAGGTTCTCCATCTATAACCATTGAGTATGCTAGCAGTGGATTTTTTTCATAAATGGCATATATTAGATAGAAGAATTTTCCTTCTATTACTATTTAATGGGTGTTTATATCATCAAATGGTATGAATAACTATAATAATTTAAGACACATGACATCAGGATTTGGAGAACTTTGGGTGGGAACATTTAGAGAGCTGCTAGAAAAAAACTAAGCAAATAAAAATAGTATGATCAAGTTCCAAACATCTTTGATTTCCTGAGACACACTACAGGGAGAGAGATCATTGCAAAATTGCACGTGGATTCTTGGTTTCTAAGACTCCCAGTATTACTAGAGAAAAGGTAAGATCATGAGATCTTGCTATCCAGAAATACCTACTCCATTTCTAACTTAAACGTCCTAAGTTGTTTCATAAAAATTTAAATGTCCAATTTTAGTGCGAAGAATAACAAATAGTTGAGAGAAGACCAAAAGAGACTAATCTTACAAATATACAAGAAGGAAAATGTATGATATGCTTACTGTTGGACGTCACTAGGAACTTTTGAGGACTTCCAGTAAGAAAAACGTTTAAAGTTCTCCAATCCTGCTGCAACATAAAAATTATTATCTTGCAATTCCGTCGAGTTTTCCAAAAGATGCCCATTCATTGTAAATAATCTGTAAATAAAGGTTTATTTAATTTTATTTATTTATAAAAGTATGGACTATAAATGTTAAGATGAATAATATTTAGGGTTCTTTTAAATTATACTGACAACAGCTCTTGTAGAACACCAGTTAAACACTCAACTTCTAGCTGAAATTTCAGTTCCTTAGGGGGAAAATGTGGTGGTCTGTAGCTATAAAAATTAAATCCAAACAACAAAGATACAAATTCACTGCCATCAAGTCAATCCCAACTCTTAGTGACCCTATAGCACAAAAAAAGAACAGCCTATAGGAGCTTCCCAATGCTATAATCTTTAGGGAAGGAGCCCTGGTGGTAAATGATTAGAATACTCCGCTGCTAACCAAAGGGTCGGCAGTCAGGTCAGCAGTTGGAGCCCAATGGCTACGCTGCAAAAAGAAGATGTGATTACTTGCTTCCGTAAAGATCATAGCCTGGGAAACCTCATGGGGAAGCTATCCTCTGTGCAACAGAATGTCTATAAGTTGGAATCAGGTCAACAGCAAAAGGCCTTAATCAGTTGGCCTTTTGTAGAAATTATATACTCATAAGTAAACATAATCTAAATGGGCTAGTTAAAATCATAAGAGAGCTCCTGTATTCGGGTTTCTTTCCATTTTTAGACTTTTAAAAATTAAAGTGTAGTTTTGATTATGTACAAGTCCTCAGAGACCCTTCAGAACATTTTAAGCTCTTGGTTGGTGTTCAATTAAAATTAACATTTAACAACTAAAATTAACACAAATTGGTTTATATTGTAGTAACAACACTTGGAAAGCAAACCAGTATTTATTAGCAAATTATGTGCCTTTTATAAACAACAAAAACTATTATCTGTCTAATTTTTTTTATTATTGGGAAACATTCTGAGTTAGTGAATTGCGTCAACCTGGTCGATAATCACATGTGGGTCTAATTGAAAAGTGGAGAGATAAATGGGTGGTGAGCCTCGCCTTTCTAGTTCTTCGGTCTCTTGCTTTGTGAGGGTCACACCAGGGTGCAGCTTCCTGCAGTTCCCTGCTTCAGCTTGCAAGATTGACCTCCTACAAGACATCCCCAAGGAGAAGCCGCATGGACCTATCCCAATGCAGCCCTGGGTGCTGGAGCAGCTGTGTGGAAACCCCTGCTAGTGCTGAGATGCTTATTCGTTCACTGACTCAGGTTTCCTCCTGCAGTCGGCATCATTGCCTCTGTTTTGTGAGGTGGAGGACTTTGTGGACTGGTGTTGGGTTAATGGGTTAATGTTGGACTTGTGGGCTTGG